GAACGGTGATGAACTCCATGAATCATTTTGTTCCAATCTTTGATGAAGTTTTAATGCTTGATCAAGACTCTTATTATTTAATTGAGTTTGGGATTGGCTATGAAAAGTATAGACGATAAAAATGGCATTTTGCAACATGTGAAAGCAACATTCGTTAATTGAGTGTTGCTAAAAGAGTTTATCACAATATTATAATAAGCAGTGTTCTAAATGGCACGCCTTGACAATGCCTAAATACTGCCAAGTCGCGAGGCGTGGCGTTTTGCTCTAATTTGGCAGTAAACAGAAGCGTTGACCACTTTAAGTTGTGCCTTGGCATGCATTATTAATATTTTTTAACATTTTTTTTACTACAAAGTTTTCAACTTTTTGGTCAATTCGATTGAAAAACACAAAAATTAATAATTATAAATTTTTTGACTTTTAAGTCAATAGATTGAAAGGCCCAAAAAGTTGTTTACCTACTTATCGATCCACTAATTTATAGAAGTCAACTCAAAGGATTTTATTTTAAACATTCGATGTAGGAGAAGAATCTCTTTAGTTTGGTTGTAGTACATTGTACCTTTGTTTTATGCAATGTATTGTACCTTTAATTTTGTTATAATGTATTGTAATTTTGGTTTGAGTGTAGTGTATTTGAATAAATAGTTATTTATATTATATTAAGTTAATTAATCATTTTCCTAGCTATCTTTTACTTATTAATAAAAATTAAAATCTCTCCATATATTTCACCCTTATATGAGCCCCACTTTTTTGGAAAAAAAAAAAGAAAAAAAAGTATTTTTGAATAGTATTTTGACAATATTTTAACCACATATTTTTCAATAAAATAATATTAAACATAAACCCAAATTTTTTTATTATTTTTACTCAAACATTTTCCATCAATACACTATTTAAAAATGCATTTTTAAACAAAAATGGGGCTCAAACAAGCCCTTCATTTATCACTATTATAATATATCTTGTTCATTGTTCGAAAATATATTTACTTTATTAAGCTCTTAAAATTGTATTTTGTACTATAATTTGTATGTGCTATTAAAAATGATTTTTAAATTGATTAAAAATTTAAAAAATATATTAAAATAAAAAAACATTTTTTTTTTTTACCACCTAAGCCTCGTCTAGAGACACATCAATCGAAGATTGGCCTTCATATATCGCTATGCATTATATTTTTTAGAACACTACTAATAAGTGAATGTTACTATTGATTAACATAATTGAACTTTGGCAATATTTTTTTGAATGAATGTTGCTAATATCACATTTTGCAACGTAAAACTAGTATTAAGAAATGAATGGCCCTTAACAACATGCAAAGGGCAACATTCGTTAATATTAAGGAGGAAAGAGACCATAATATATTATTTATTTACACTATTCAATCAGAGGCGACTCAAACAATTTAGAGGATTAATCGAAATTTTTAAGGCTTCTTTCCAAGAATTTCAACAACGAAATTAAAATGAGCAAATAATTATCGACCGTGTATTATCAGTATTCGGGTTGAATTGACAACACTGGAACTGTCGATGATCACCGATACACCACTGTCAGGGATTACAGATAACATATAGTCATCAATCATTGATTTGCACTTCAATTGTATATCACCAATGGAGAATTATCTGTTTGACCAACAGAAGTTTATTCATTCTTTATTTTTTATTTTTAATAAATTACTTACCAATATTCCATCGATAAATTAAGTTTAAATTTTTTTATTTTTTAACTTATAATTGGTTGATATGTTTTATATTTTATTCTTTAAGTGATATTTTGTCATTAGTTTTACGTTTTTATTAGTTTCTTTACTATAAAATTTTTCTTTGATAAATTAAGTTTAGAGATTTATTAATTGTTATAGATAGAAAAATCAAATTAGTAGATTGTTTGAAGAGAGATTTCATAAATCTGAGCCCTTAGGATTTAGCAAATTATTACTTGCCTAGAAATTCAAGCCTAGAGCTCTCTACAGAATGTATAACCAATACAACACAGCACCTGTATAGTGCATTTTCTGTCATTTACGGGTCCAAAACTAATGGAAAAATTGTCAAGTGTTCTTCTGTAAAAATTTTGTCAATTTTTCTGTAATCTCAGCATAACTGTATGCACAATACAAGGCAAGTAGCACTAATTATAGAATTAATGATTAATTAATTCAAAGGGGTAGTTGAGAAGCCATAAACGTGCAAAATTTCTGATTCAACGGTTGTCATTAAAAGATACAAATCAAAATATATATTTTCAGTCATTTTTTGTATGTATATATTGTTTTAGAATTCATAAAAGAGTTGCACAAAATAATTCATTCCTCCCTCGTTATTTCATTAGATTTTGGTGCTGTAATAATCAAGAAATTTTCAAGGAGGAAAGAGGCTACAAAATGACAAGAATCTTTACCCTTTGTAAGAAAATAGATACAACACGGTCGAGTGTCATTATAACTTTTGCATCACGTAATTTCATTGCGTACATATCATTAGATACATGTATCAATCTATCAATTAAATGTGAAATTATATTATTAATTTAATTGTACATTTCAACTAATGACATGTAGCAACATTTGAACTGATATTGTAATAAGATTGATACTAAATAGTAGTATTCTTTGTTTATTTACACCATATAATGTTCATTTATGATTTTAGTTAGACGATTTATTTACTTGCAAGTAACTATAGCAATACGTGTTAGAAAACTAACAAGTTTGGATTTGAGCATTGGTGTCATCCTACCTTCGTATTTTCTTAGTTGGATGCCTAACAACTTACTTCTACACCACCGAAGTAATAAAATCACGGATGAAAATAAAGACACAAAAGAAACACAATTTATTTATAGAGTCTCGCCTTAATATAAGACTACTTTCTCATCTGTTGATGCAGTAATTCATTGTGATGAAAAGAAGTTTACAAGAGAAAACTTTCACCTCTTATCTTTTCTAACCTGTATTTCTTTCTTTTTGATGATAATCCAAAATCATAATGATGGTTCCATAATTATGATAAAATAGAAATTACATATGACCTTGAGAACGATTTGTGTACTGGGGCTTTATAGCGACAATAATTTGTATCCACAACAATTAGGTAATTACTAATCATGCAAATTTGATCTTTCTAGTAAAAAGAGAGCCTATTTCTCAGAATGGCAATGGGTCGAAATGCGACGATTTGATCCTTAGACATATGAGCTCTCGTGTCTACAAACTATACTTTGTTCGATCCTTTGGCTTGTGGACCTCATGGGCTGATTTGAGTTGTCTAGAAGCCCATGACCAGACTATTGTTTTTTAAAGAAATAAACAAAACAAGCCCAAAACCGATTCAGCCTGTGATTTCATAAGCCAAGCCTGCTACTAAAAAAAGCTTAACCAGCAAACGACTCAGCCCATTTGTCAATCATACCTAATTTTAGGCATGAGCATCAAATGGGTCGTTCCGAGTATCTCAATACTCGAAACCATCTATAAAAATTTCAAATATTACGTAAATAGTACCATTCAAGTCCACGTAATTAGTATTATCCATTTTGGTTCGTTCTACCCATAAAAATTTAGAAGAAAAATAACACTGACCTGATAATATAAATTATCTTCTCTGAAATTGAAGAAATAAAATATGCCACCACATATACTTTCCAACATTTTCTTAGCTCACTTCAAATATGTTACTAAGGGTCCGTCTGGTGCCCATTTTTTTCAAAATGTATTTTTCTCTATATTCTTTTCAACCACACATTCTTTATTAAAATAATATTACACTTAAATAAAAAAAAATTTCTTATTTTTCAATCTTACAATTTTCATTAATTTACTATTCTAAAATACATTTTTACATGAAAATGAAACTCAAACATCCTTTAAATAATATCTAGTACATTTTAGCATCAAATTCCAACTGTATATCTGTGTGCCGCACCGCAAGCAGGATTTGTAGGGCCGGGAGAACGTAAACTCCGATCAGAAGTATCTATGAACGAGTATGATATAATTCAATTATTCAAATATGAATTTGATTGATTAGAATGCTTACTATTTGGATCTTGCAAACTTGCTACTTATTGGGCTAGTCATTGGATCATGAGAATAAATTGTAAAAAATAAAATATTTATAAAAATGATAAATACGATACCAGAGTCGATTAACCATGATTTCAGTACAAGAACTAAGAACTGTCCGGGATCCTATCGGTTCTCAATTCCAATTTTGAATTATTTTTTTACTTTTCTTTTTACGTTGCCTTGAAAATGTGAAAAAAGGGCCTAAATGAAGTGAAAAACCACCAAAATACAAAACCCATTAAATTCTGCTGGTGCCTTCATTTGGACCTATACCACCTCCCGAACCAACCACATCTACACTGATACAACCAGCTCTTTCTTAATTGATTTTTTTCATTTTTCCTATTTTTCCGTTTCTAAAAATAAAACTTTTACGAAACAGTAATACTATTTAGTCCCAATGGAATTGCAACCTCAGTCCGAGTGGCCTTAGTGTAATATTAAATGATAAGTGTGAAATTAATACATTTTATTTAGGGGGTGTTTGATAGTCATTTTTATGTAAAAATGCATTTTAGAATAGTAAATTGATGTGAAATGTGTAGTTGAAAAATAAGAAATTTTTTTTGATTTACGTGTAATATTATTTTAATCAAGAATATGTGGTTGAAAAGAAGAGAGAGAAAAATACATTTTAAAAAAATGGCTACCAAACGAGGTCTTAGTTTATCATCTAGCTCCACCTAAATTGGAATTGCAATAGCAGTGAGACTACATTACAGTATTCTTTAAAAAAATATGCCTTCACCTCCAAAAACAGCGTCCCTAAAGCTAGAGGCCTGATTCTTTTTCGAGTTTCCTTTTGTCATACTTTTTTATATGATTTAAACTAAAAGGTGGGATTTTATTTATACCTCCTTGAACCTTGGTCGAGACATCACATTGACAGTGGTATCATACATGTGTTCTATATAATTTATACTAAAATGCAAGATTTCATCTATACATCTTAGAGCTTAGATTATCACGATCTTTAGCAAGTTGAAAAGGGTTGATCGTCTTTTGCATATCATATTGAAAATCAATATCTACATGCCTTTTAAGTGGTGGGGTATTTTGGAAAAGGGCTTAATATCTTATTGCTTTAGTCCACACACAAGTGGCCAAGCGCGCCTGTATCTTATGGTTTATATATGAGCCTGCCATGCTTTCACATAAAATGCGAATCTCTTCACTGATTCAAGCCTAGAATCAGACACAAACTTGCAGAATTTCTTACACTAATTCGGGTTTTTTGGAACTCGTGTTTTCGTGTCAGTATCTCAAAACACTAACAAAAAAGAACAGTTAGATTAGTAAATGCTCTGAATTTCAAGTGCATTCAATATCACTGTATCTTATTTATACACTAAATAGTCATCTGATTTTCATTCCTTGACTTGCTGAAAACAAAGATGGGTGAAAACTTACACCGGCTTCAAGGTTTTGATGTCTCCCTCAATTTACCTGATTCGAAATGTTTGGACGACGATGGCAGGCTCAAGAGAACTGGTATTTTGCTTACCTTATGCTTATTTTGAGTACAGAATTTCACTTTGATGATAGATATGGGGTCAGAATCCTTAGCAACTACAACAAGAGATGTTTGTGTAGTATATATGTCATTTTCTCTCTTTAGTGATTATATTCGTGTATGTAAACGAAAAACTGTCTTGTTCGTGATAAATTTGAGGTTGCTTACATGAATTTTTTTTTTTCCAACTATGTTCATTTTGCAAGATTTGAAGCAACTAGATCCTTATAGGTTATGAACTATAACGAATGAGATTAGTTCAGGTTATATATTTGCTGTCTCTTTTGTTGTAGGAACTGTATGGACTGCAAGTGCTCACATAATAACAGCTGTGATTGGTTCTGGAGTCCTGTCCTTGGCTTGGGCCACTGCACAGCTTGGATGGATAGCTGGTCCATCTGTGATGTTCTTGTTCTCGTTTGTTACATATTACACTTCTACTCTTCTGGCAGCATGTTACAGGTCTGGTAATCCAGATTCCGGGAAAAGAAACTATACTTACATGGATGCTGTCCGAGCCAACCTCGGTAATGTTAAAGATGCGGAAAAGTTTTTGAGTTTACGTCTGATTATTTATCACATAATAGGTCATTAGCATTTAGGCTTCTTTTGCGAAGTTGTAAAATCAGTTTCTCACTTGTGGGATTTCAAATTTCAGGTGGATTCCAAGTGAAAATTTGTGGAGTTATTCAGTACGTGAATCTTTTTGGAGTTGCTATTGGTTACACAATTGCATCATCTATAAGCATGAAGTAAGTATGAATTTGAAAAAATATAAAAATAAAAAAGTTACTATTTCCTTGTTCTGTCCAGTACTGAGTACTAAAAGTACCCAATATGTTAATGCTTTGAAAAAATTAATACTGATGAGAAGTTAACTTTACAGAGCAATCGAGAGGTCGAATTGCTTCCATTCGAAAGGGCATGACAGTCCTTGCAGAGTTTCAAGCAACCCTTACATGATTGCATTTGGGGTGATGGAAGTAATTTTCTCCCAAATTCCAGATTTTGATCAAATATGGTGGCTTTCAATTGTTGCAGCAGTTATGTCCTTCACTTACTCAAGTATTGGTCTAGGACTCGGAATTGCTAGAGTTGCTGGTAGGAAAATTGAATCTCTCAACAACTTTAATTCATTTATTTATTTTTTAGAAATTTCAAATTATGTTCTATTTTTACGCTTTTTGTGCAGAAACAGGGAAAATTCGGGGAAGTCTTACTGGAATAAGCATTGGAGCACAAGTCACTCCAATTGAGAAAATATGGAGAAGTTTTCAAGCACTTGGAGACATTGCTTTTGCTTATTCTTACTCCCTTATTCTTATTGAAATTCAGGTATGATTTAATTTTTATCTGTGATCCTCATAACTGAGAGAAAAGAGCTGGAGATAAGAAAGTGAACGTAATCCCAGTCACGAGAACAATATTAAGCAAAACGAACCATAAACATATACAAACAAATATACATATGTTGGGTAAACTTTTTTACTCCAAAAGTTAGCTAAAAAAGTGAGGCTTTCCCTCACACTTATAAATAGAATATTAACCCTATCCACAACCGATGTGAGACAACCTCGACAATCTCCTCCTCACACATCGAGCTTTGTGGAAGACCAAACACGTCTCCCCCTCACATCGGGCTCTGTGGGAGACCAAACCCGTCTCTCCCTCACACAACAAGACCTGCGGGAGACCAAACTTGTCTCCCCCTCATACAAACCCGTATTTTCGTGACCCTTGGACTGGAGACTTGTTGATAAATCGGGCTCTGATACCAATTTTGGATAGTATTGGACCTCTCTCACCAAAAACTAGCTCAGGAGGTGAGATTTTCCTCCACACTTATAAATTGAATACCATCCCCATCCACAATCAATGTGGGACAACATCAACAACATATTTATAGTGTTCCACCCTCAATGTAATATAACTATAATGAAAGTGGAGAATTATAATGGAGATCTCACACTTCTGAGAAAACTGCTCCTTAATAAATCGTTTATGCATTTGGAACATTAGAATAACCTCTTACATATGTGAATGGCGAAAATAGTCAGTAATAAAAATAATTCATCATAAACAAGGGATAATATTAACATCCACATATCCAACAGTAGTCGTGACAATATCCATGTCGTCCCATGTAGTGTTGTAGCAAATGTTAAGTATCCCATATTGAAATTTGGGGTTCCATCTTAAAAAGTTAATCTTGTTAAAAGTAGTAGTCCAAGCTTTTATATTCACACCAATCTTAAAATTATATTAAGATTTGAAATTCCATCTTAAAATGTTAACCTTGTTACGAGAAGTAGCCGAAATCCTCATATGTTGGTCTACATTTTCATTTTTATTTGACGTGGGATTTATCCCTTAACATCCCCCTCTGTGAACAAGTCTTGAAACTAATTTCAATTTCATTTGTTTTCATCACAGGATACAATAAAGTCCCCACCATCAGAGTACAAAACAATGAAGAAGGCTACACTACTAAGTGTAGGAGTAACAACCCTTTTCTACATGTTTTGTGGATGTTTTGGCTATGCAGCATTTGGAGATTCTTCACATGTAAATCTCCTAACAGGTTTCGGATTCTTCAACCCATATTGGCTACTCAATATCGCGAATGCAGCCATAGTTATCCACCTTGTTGGTGCATACCAAGTTTACTGTCAACCCCTTTTCGCCTTTGTCGAAAAAATAGCATCAAAATATTTTCCAGACAGTGAATTCATCACAAAAGAAGTCGAAATCCCAATTCCCGGCTTTAAATCCTTCAAACTCAACCTTTTTCGTTTAGTTTGGCGTACAGCATTTGTGATCATAACAACTATAATCTCAATGCTTATGCCATTCTTCAACGATGTTGTCGGGATTCTTGGTGCATTCGGGTTCTGGCCTTTGACCGTTTATTTCCCGGTCGAGATGTATATAGTACAGAAAAAGATACGGAAATGGAGCCTGAGATGGATTTGTCTTCAAACACTGAGTGGAGCATGTCTTGTTATTTCCATTGCTGCTGCAGCTGGTTCTTTTGCTGGAGTTGCTTCTGATCTCAAAGTGTATAAGCCATTCAAGACTAGCTACTGATTCTGTTGAATTTAGACCAAACAAGAAAGGACAAAAATTAGGATTTTAATTCTTATTTCATGTTCATAACAAACCTAAGAGAGTCCAATGTATATATTAATGTGGGAATCAGAAACCCAAGTTTCTCAAGTCCTTATTGCTGTCTGTTTCTCTGTTAAAATAGCAAATTCAAGCAAGGTATTTAAATACTTTAACTTCTTCTCCTTTTAGGCTAAGTCAATGCCATGGCCGTGTTCAAGGACACTGGATCCAGAATATTGGTACAATATCAACAAAATTAAGCCTTACTCTCAAGTTGGTTATATGGATTCTTTAAATACTGTGGACGGTTGTTCTCAAAATTAACCACACATTTTATTGAATTCATAATTTTTATTCATTTTTAATTACACATTCTATGTGACCTACGGACTTCTTGTCAAATAGTCTTATTATCACCATTGTCAAATTCTTGTAACATATAGACAATCGAGATTTGTACGTGTTGGTAAAGTTCATGCATAAATTAGAGAATAAAGCTTATTTGCCAAAAAAAATTTAACATCTTGATTGACATTCACTCACATGCGGTGGGACCCATGTGAATAAAAAATGCCCAAAAAGTGCACCCACCCCCTCCTCATTGTGAGTGTCGCTATCAAGATAGCTTGGTCCTAAATTATATTTGTGCTTTCAAGATTAATTTGCAAATGAATTGAATAGAAATCGATTAATCGGTCCCACTTAAATAATTTGTCAAAGTTGATCAAAATCAATTTCCAACTGTCGCACTATATCGATCAGTGTCCACTCATAAGTTGACATTATCGACGTCATATCTATTCATGAAAAATATCAATCTTGAATAAAGATTTTTACAGTTTCATAAACTTGTTTTCTTATAAGGCCATAAATTTTCTTTTAAATTCTATAGATATGGCTACTTTTACTAATTGAAAAGGCGAAATATAAGATCCAGTTTTTTGAATAATGCATTAAAAGTGATGTCTATTCCATATATTTCTTATCATGATGGAATTCAATACCATACCAAGGGACCTTTACAACCATTAAAAAAAAAAGGAAGTGCTTTTTCCCTACACCATTGATGTAAAAAGGCAAACATGCATTATATTAACTAGTTTTCCGATCCATTATGTGCAATCATGCATTGTTGATCATACATGATATGACGGGTTCACATAAATTGGTGCTCATTAAAGATTTAACAAAATTTCAAGTCGGTATGATACGAGTCAGTTAACTTCAATTTATTTGCAAGTTTTTCAGTTAGTTCATGCAACTAGATTGTCTAGTTTTTTGTTTAATTAGATTATCACATTAATTTTCCATTAATCAAGCTAAGGGGCATGAACAAAGTGATCAAATCCAAGGAAAACATGAACATTGTACTAATTGTGCAAACTTTTTGGAAGGATGCTAGGTGTGAACTACTTTTTGAGACCAAGACTGGGCTAGCCTTTGGCATCTATTGGCCATCCATCTCCATCAAAAAACAGTGGACCACCCCACCCCACCCCACCCCACCATTCCAAGAGTGGATGGAGAAGAAATGCAAACTTGAAACCTACAAGTGAGGAATTAAAAGGTGGTTCGATTGAGCTTTTTCAAAACAGAATCTTTTTAAGTCCATGTTTGATATCGCTAAAAATCTAATTAAAATGTAAGTTAAAGTTAGCAATTAATTTTAAACACACATTTCATGAAACTCACAACTTTTGAACAATCAACTTTTATCAAAATCTACTAAAAAAATTATTTTAATCTCTACGAAACATGGGTTAAATATATATCTTCTTCAAATTGTATTGTTCAAGTGTTAAAACTAGTTAGAAGTTCACGGTATTGCAGAAAAGGATTCATGTAATCAAGGTTGGCCTTGAGATTTTGGGGGCCTTAGACCACTTTCAAATATGAGACCTTATATATATGTGTGTGTGTGTGTGTGTGTGTGTAAAAATACATATAAAATAAAATAAAAAATTTTTTTGGGAGTCCTCATCAAAGTGGGGCCTTAAGCGATTGCTTATCTTGTCTATAATTAGGGCCGACACTGCATGTAATCCATTCAATAATTTATTAAAAAATAAGACTCGATTTTTTGTTGTAAATGATAGCATACCTCACAATGTAGATCTAAAATGTTAAAGTGAGAACAAACCTCAAATTGTACTGATTTTAGAGTGACAAGTTAAGACCATCTCCTTCATCATGACATCTGTACTTAGGAATATTCGCGTTTATTTCTCCACCCTATGGAGTGCTTAAAGACTTTACCCTAATGTTGTTGAGGGAGAGGGTGTTAGTAAATGTTACATCACCTTAGTACAATTGAGATATGTATATTTAGCCATATAAGTCTATTTTACGTTGACTGTTATAAACTTTTTATGATATTGCTATAAATTTTGTGGTTTTTACTTTTTATAATACAAGTTGCAATTGCTGAATATAAAGTCGTTGGAGCTAAACTTCGACGAGTAAAAAGGTTTCAAGAATATTGAATATTACATGTATTCATATCATACGCTTAAATAGTCATCTGATTTTCATTCTTTGCCTTGCTGAAAACATACACCAGCTTCAAGGTTTTGAGGTCTCCCTCAATGTGCCTGGTTCGAGACGATGGAAGGCTCGAAAATAAGCAATGATGGATCTTTGGATGGGGAGTATTAATTAAGCCCCTCTTTGATGGCCATTATGACGAAAGAAATGATATTTTGAATAATGATTTTTTAAAGAATGACTTGTTAAAAAGTAGGGAATAAATTTAGATTTACGTACAAATTATTTTATTGTATTAACGAGTTGTTAAAAATGAGTTACGAAAATAAAAAAAATTAAAAAAATAATAAATAATAAATTTCTTTTAAAGAGAGATCGATGGTTTATTGACAAATTTGGTGCTTTTTACAAGTTGGTAAATTCATCAATAGTTTTTAATAATAAAACTTCAATTCATACTGTATTTAACCTTTCATTAGCACTCTTTGAGAAAGGATAATAATTTCTAGAAGTGGACTCAATTTCACTGCATGATTTAGAATATTTGTTCCAATAATGTATAGTTCGAATTTAGTTCTCTCAATCAATTGCCTTTATCCTCTCTATTTCAAAACAGGAATAAAAAGTTCAACAAACAAACTAGTTGAATTCATCAACAAGCAAATGGAAACTGGCAGCACGAACCAGAAAGTTTAGCTCTGCTATCAGGAAAGCAAGAATAAGCATGCACAAACACTTTTTCCATGAAAAACGAAAAATCTTCAAAGTCATTTAAGCCCTTCTTTGGCTCAAGATTTTAACCTGAGTCAAAATCAATCAATCAATCAATATTAACCATATCTTTCACAGGTCTCACAACTTTTTAACCATACATTTAAAAAACTTCTATCAAAATCTACTAAAAATCTAATTTTAATCTCCACCAAACAACCTCTAAATTTACAAGACGTGTGATGATGATCTTGTAGCGCATCATGAACAAGGCAAACTAATCCACCGACAATTATTCAGGCGACTACGACAGCCTATGAAGTTTGCACGAGAAGATACTCTCAACAATCCAAACGCAGGGACGAATATAAAAAATAAACCGAAAGGCCAAAGCAACCTCGTGACATGATTCCCAGTGTATAAACTCAGGAACTGAGAATGAACGTAGAGGCCGTTCTAATGAAGAAGCGCCTAAACAGTTTGGTGTATAGGGCTGGGTGGCCTGCTTTTTATACAAAGGAATGTGATGTACCTCAACATAGTGGCACCAACGTTTTTTCTGAGACCTCATCTCATTTCCTCAGCATTGAATTTGTTCCAAGCTTCCTACAAAAATTTAAGACTCGATGAATGCACATAAAGAGTAATGAATGCAACACAAACATGAAAAGCATGCCATGGAAATGTATTTATATAAATACATCCAATCGTAGTTTTGAAAATTTCTCTTAGACAATTAGATCTATTGGAATTATTGGTTTATCATAAGAGAAATTTTGTGTTTTCATATCCTTTTGAATACTTTCATTTTTCGTCTTGAGGCTTACACCTTTCCTCCTAGAGATAAAAACCTGACTACCCAGTTGAGTAGATGATTGGATCTAATTTATTTTTAATTGCTTCGGAGCCTCTATGGCCATGGCAAGTGGAATGATAGATGCATGAATATGAAAATGTTTAAATTTCATCTTAAGAGCAACAAAATCATGGGAATTCATGAACAATGAAAATCACAATGAGAGTACCTTCAGAATATCAAAAACCTTCTCAGCAATGTATTTTTGTTGGAGATTGGCTCCTTTTTGTTGAACCTTGTCTGGATGGACACATAAGGTTGCTTTATAATAAACCTTTTTCACTGATGTGGAAGTAATTAAATCAGTCAATGAAATTTGCTGCCAACCACATTCAGGCCATAACACCTGCAAATCATCCCATAGACTCTTAACAATTAGTTTATTTAAAATGAAGTTATCACGTGGTCCATGTTGATCAGGTGAGCACTCAAATGATTTAACTTGTTTCACTCCTATAGTGTCCATATTCATAGCCAAATCTAAAATAAAACTTCGAGAATGCTACAGTCAGGCACTGATTCATGATTGTAACCCTTCAATATACGAAAAAAGGAATGATAAAAATGAAAATGAAATCTCATTTCTACACAAACCATTTTCCTTCCGTTTTGAATAAATAGAATTATAAAGTAAACTAATTCAACTTAAAGCCGACACGTTAGCAAAAGGTTTAGAGAAAATCATCTTTGAACATAAGTGAAACTGTCGATTTCTGTATTACATTTTACATCACATATTTGGTCTGCTGGGGTTTGGAATCCTGCTCCCCCAACATATTTTTGTTCCTCAGAATTTGACATCTATTACAAAATTCAGACAGCAATTTACAGCACGGCATGCTGCAATATTATGACTGGACGAATGATATATGCACCCCCTCTGTTTGCAACTTTGTATGGTTACCTCGTTTGCATGCTGGAAATTTTTGAAGTGGCGGCACTAATTTCAAGAACGTGCTGATTTTGGATTGACAACAATAGTAGTCGATTACCTATCATGTTAGGTCATATATTGACTGAAAAATGAGCAGTGGGAAAGAATGATGACAACTGGTTTAACTTAGTTTCACGTGCCTTTGAACCATAATTTTGTATTCCTAGTTGAATTAAAAACATCCACTTGAATCACTCTCTGTAAGAAGCTTCAGTGTGCCAAAATCACCTTCTTTTTTTGATTGAGCAAGAGCTGTTTCTGAGTGATACCCTGATTATAATTTTAATGAGGGTAATTTTGGAAAGAATGGTTCGATAAGTTTTGTTTTGGGTAAGCAACTATTAGTTTGGAACATCAAGATAAGGGAAGATCCACTCAATTTGAAAATGGAGTATTCTTTCTGCATGGACTGAACGCCAACTCTGTTCCAAAGCCAGCCCCATGAAGGGGGTTTGGTACCAGCACCGATGCAGCAAGCAGAATAAAAAAGAAAAACTGTGTAATACAAAAATAAAAATGAAAAGACCTTACGCATAGTACTAACTCTGCAACATAAAAGACAGAAAGAAAAAGGGTTGAATGGTTAACGAAAAAAACCTGTTGCAATGACGACAACAGAGCTCTCAAGTTTCCTTCTTTTCCTGCTGCCCAACGCTTTATATAATTATCCATAGTTTCAGCAAGCATCTGTAACATAAAGTTCAATAACAAAGAGAAAGAATGACTGGATCCGAATTTTAAAGTAGAGTTTGCCTTCAATACACACACATTCACAAACAATTCTGAGAACCCGTGAAGCATACCTGTTGCAATGACGACAACAGAGCTCTCAAGTTTCCTTCTTTTCCTGCTGCCCAACGCTTTATATAATTATCCATAGTTTCAGCAAGCATCTGTAACATAAAGTTCAATAACAAAGAGAGAGAATGACTGGATCCGAATTTTAAAGTAGAGTTTGCCTTCAATACACACACATTCACAAACAATTCTGAGAACCCGTGAAGCATCCCTGCAAGTGTGCATATTAGAGAGCAATAGACCCCCCCGAAAAAAAAAAAAATTTCTTCCACCTCTCTCCCACAACACAAAAAAAATATATGATAAGGTCTTAAAATTCGTCACTGCCCAATAAACTGCAATAGTACAAATCATGCACGGGCAAGCACACATAGAAGATATGTAAGTTCCTTAGCAATCAATAAAATGCATTTTTTCCAGGTACTCGACAAGAATCTTACATGTCTCTCTTCCTTCTCACGTTGTGCCTGAACATCACGTTGATTTTTATCAGCCAAAGCTTTAGCCTGAGAAAGGAAACAGTTGAGAATTTTTAAACCCATTACGGAAGGGTATCAGTCAAACCTCAAATCACATCAAATCATTTCCAGCCACATGATCAAAACCTGCACCGGGTTAGAGTAGCTTCACATTAGTTTCATTAGAGCCTGAGGGCAATGCATTCTCAAGTCCTAGGAGGAACAGGACAAGAAAGGGACGAAATGGTAGGGACTGCTTCTCTTCCCGTTCAGCATAGATGATAATATATACAGTCAAGAGTAAAACTCATGATTTAATGGCTATCTTGGCATATACGTGCTGTGGAAGCCTGACTTACTCGGGCACTATTTACCAGTCTCACTTTAATACAAGTTACAAGACCTCACTAGAAAGCAGCTAACACGAATTATCGACTCCATTAGTCTTTTGTATGCTCTCTCTGTCATTTCATTGATTTTCATAGCTCATGCATAAATTGAGATGCAAAAAGATATGGTTATCACCTTAAAACAATTAAGATAACAGTCATAGTCTGAAAACAAGTAGCATAACCAAGTAAATGTTAAATTCTGAAAACATACCATTCGAGCTTGGGTCCTCATATGATGATTTAGCCTTGCTCTGCGCTTTCTTCACTTTCCCCTTCTTTTTCTTTAAATTCTCCAGATGGTGTGTTATCTAAATGCAAATTACAAACAGAAATTAATCATAATGACTAACATCACCAAATATTCTATATGAAGAACAGATATAGTCGGTCCTCCCAATATGAATCATTATGGGCGACAAGCAATAAAAACCATCGATAAAGATGTTTAACTAAGTCCCCTGAGCATAAAGTTCATCATACGACTCGCATTGCTTAAAAAAACTTTTTGAGCCTTACTCCTTGAATTCCTCAAGTTGACTAAGGTGTTCTATTTGTTTTACGTTTTCCTGACATTGCATTACTGGCTTTAGCATTTTGGGCTGTCTCTTTACAACCTAGAATGCTTTACGGGTGTTTTCATTTTCTTTTTGTGCTTATACAGAACGGAAAGATGAGAACACAACATTGCAAATGGAGGATCATTACTAAGTATGAGAAGATAAGGATGAGAGTGATGCAAGGGCAAGGACAATTTAGATGATTCATTAAAGATGCTCTTAGTAGCGATAATATGAGAGAATTTTAAGTCGTTTCTACTTCTAGTAACTAATTTAAGAAATCATACTTTCTGTTTTATTAATCTATTTTATGTTTGTTCACAAGTTAGACTAATAATTTTGTTAATATGATCTATAATGATCAGTTTGAGGTTCATTATTAGCATTTTTTTTTGTATATTCATATTATTTTGAGTTATTATACTGTTTGACTTGAGGCTTACTAAGTTATTAATGACTTGTAGAGTCCATAAGAGCACTGATATTAAGCAATACTTCAGTGAAGGTTGCTTTAGCCAATAAGAGTACCTCCGAAAAGTGAAGAGAAGTCATCAACATTATTCGTCATTGAAGACGCCTGCTTTGTGCTGACTGAAGATGTAGTAGTACTCTTAACTTCAGACTCTCTTTTCCCATGGAATAGCGTATCAAAAAGAGAGTCCTGGAACCAACAAAAAAATGAAGGAAAAACTCATTAATAAATTGCCTAATGAAGAAGTCAGTATACCACAAAACTATATGAAGATCCAGTTTTCTACCTCAGTTGTAGAACTTCTACTTGCCATATGATTTGACTGTACACCACTGCTAAAAAACATATCGATATCATCTTCATTCTCAAATCCTTTCTTCACTTCATTAACCCTTTGTTTGTGAAGTGTACCCTGTTTTCCTTTGAGTTCTCTCTCATTTGTATATACCTTCTTTTTTCCAATAGAAATTTTTATATTTCCAATTTTCTCCGAATATGGTCTGTCATCTGTGCTCCTCACATTTTTCAGCTTCCCTGTGCCGTCAGTATTTGCATCATTCAGGATTTTACCCATGGCAAAATCTTCAAGTTCATCAATTGAAGATTGAACTGAGCCTTTTCCTACATTTTGTTCCACAGAACTAGCAAATGGCCAAGAAGCATATCCCTGGGATACAGAGGATTCAAAGACTGAAGAAGGATCATCCACCAACTTGGAATCAGAGTTCAACGAATGGTCACTTGACTGTTTGGTGTCGGAGTACGCTCTGTGTAAAGGTTTAATTTACAAGAATGACTATATTTATTAGAAAATTAAAAGACAAACGAATTTACAGTAAGATAACACGTGTATGCCACTAAGGCAGTTATTTAGGCATTTCAGGTACAAATAAACCATTGCATTACTCGATGTTAACAAAACACCGCTCTATTGATGTAAAGGTACTAAGTTTACAAACTATGGATACAATTCTTGATACT